TAACTATGATAAAATGGGCGTTAATATACACTTACATACACACACGTAAATATTTCACTCTGTAACTATGATAAAATGGGCGTTAATATACACTTACATACACACACGTAAATATTTCACTCTGTAACTATGATAAAAGTGGGTGTTAATATACACTTACATACACACACGTAAATATTTCACTCTGTAACTGTGATAAAATGGGTGTTAATATACAGTTACATACACACACGTAAATATTTCACTCTGTAACTGTGATAAAATGGGTGTTAATATACACTTACATACACACACGTAAACATTTCACTCTGTAACTGTGATAAAAGTGGGTGTTAGTAGACACTTACATACACACACGTAAATATTTCACTCTGTAACTGTGATAAAATGGGTGTTAATATACACTTACACACACGTAAATATTTCACTCTGTAACTGTGATAAAATGGGTGTTAATATACACTTACATACACACACGTACATCTGTACTTATGATTTCGTAATGTATAGGAGGAAAATTACGATAAGAAGAAACTGAAAAGTCTCCGTGGTTTTATTTCTTAATTATAGCCGCAACTTTACTTTCGTATGAAGATATGAAATTATTATTCGACTTTAGTAAAAAATTTCCCACAGGCTTTGCAAGAAGAAAATACAAACTGTAGTAGAAACTACAAAACAGAGACAAAAAAAAAGCTTACCTGTTTCTCATGTTCAGTTTCTGTAACAAATTTTTCAGCAAGTTTATCGACATCATTTGATACAACAGGTAAAAAATCGTACGTTTCTGGCAAATTCTCGTTCGTGCTGTCGACTTCTTCCATGACAAATATCTCTTACAAGTATCGTGATCAGCACAGAAAAGTCAGCACGAAGAATACAACGTCACCAGTTTACAGATGGAATTGATAAGTGAATGTCAACAACTGAACAATGTCAGAGAGAAGCTGGTTGGATGATATGCTCAATATATATATAAAACAGGTGTGTCTATATCGAGACCAGAATGTACTGAACTTAATTAACACTAGTTGTGTATGTAATTCAAACATACAATTCTCAGTATTCTCTCTCTATATATATATACCACTGTGTCAGTACCGTGAATATATATCAACCATTAACCGAAGGAACTTCACACCCCAATTTCTTCCTCATCACACAGACTTGGTTGGAATGACCAAAATCTAAGAACTATCGTATTATTTAAACAAACAGCCCCAGCCCCGATCAAAACTCAGCGTCCAATAAGAAGTATAAACACACAGATTCGTATGCCAGTCACTCATCTTTTGTCTCCCAGCCCAAAATAAACACAGACCACGTGGTGTCCAAAACCCCAGATTCACAGCGTGATAGAGACGCTAGTGTCTACACCGAAGCCTCTGTAAAGATTTTACAGAAGACGAGTTAAATCACACACACACACAAGAAGATGTGAACAGATGTGTGAATAAATGTTTGGATAACATTCTAGGCAAGTGTCTCTTCTGTTTGATGACAAACTTTTAACTACTTCTCACGCCGGTAAAAGTAAGATAAACCGAATTTTAATAGAAACGAATTTGATCTTATGTATTTAAAAATAAAATCACCAAACACCAAATCGGAAACCGAAACATCCTCAGTCCTATAGCGATTCAAAAATATCTACCGTTATACACAAGATGATTGACGTCATCTAACTTCCAAAAGAGTGCGTTCATGTGGTAACAAAGTTTACATTCCAATATACACGATCCGGTCAAGGATTGCTGCGTGTTCCTTATACTTTAACTGACTTGCTTCAAGATGTAAACTTATAAATTTGGTCTAACACTTCAGTGAGCAATAATGGATTGCTTTATTAACGCGCGAAACTTATACCACATGTCAGGATATATTGACGTGTTTAATTAACTGCGGATATATTAGAACTTGTTATAAATAAAGCACACCATCTGGAATTGCCGAGATGCCATTTCTTTACCATCATTTATATAAACTGCTATATTACGTAAACATAACCTCCCTATTTCTTTCTTAATCTCTTTACGTACACACAAAAACGCAGAACGTAAATCCGGATAATAATGGAATTTCCTTCTGTTATGCAAACTGAATTCCAGCAAAAACAGGAATCTATATGTATCAATTCGACGCATTAGTGACCAACATTCTGTGACTCAAGTTTCAACAGTGTTGGTCCAACAATAGAAGCATTAACAACGATAAAACATGAGAATTAGAAGAAATAACAGTGTTGGCTCAACAACGATAAAACATGAGAATTAGAAGAAATAACAGTGTTGGCTCAACAACGATAAAACATGAGAAATAAAAGCAGTAACAGTGTTGGCTCAACAACGATAAAACATGAGAAACAGAAACAATAAAAGCGTAGACTCAACAACGATAAAATATGAGAAACAGAAACAATAAAAGCGTAGACTCAACAACGATAAAACATGAGAAATAAAAGTATTAACTGTCTTGGCCAAACAACGTTAAAATATGAGTAATAGAGAAATAAAAAGTACGAGACGGAGAACTGGAAAAGAGAAAATGAAAGACCTGAAAGATTTTCAATAACTTACATAAAATTTCCAAATTAATAACTTCTTATTCTCGAAACTACATCTACAAGTTCTCGGTCCGGTCCACTGCACATTTTCTTAAAAGCAAAAATAGCAAAATCCCGACAAATTCTTTAAAACCATCCACAAGTAAAAAGGTTTGGCGCCATGGTTGGGATCTAGATCAACCATTCGTATTAAAGTACTTTCACCACAGCCTCACCATATGCGATGACACTCCGGACTCGGTTTCTTTCTAAACCTAAAAATTCTAAATGATATAAATGCAGTATTAATTAAATTCACATTGACAGAACTCAAAATGCTTCGTCAAACTCTAGTGTTATACGTATCATTTCAGTGTGTGTGTGTGTATATATACTGCACAGGAAATACACAATAACTTGAAACTTGCATAAGAAAATGTACTGAACAGTAACTAATCCGACACAATTTTAATTATTTGCGTTATAATTAAACCTGACACGTGAGAAATTATATATCTTAAGATGTGTAATTTTGAACAGGTTAGTCAATAACAGGGAAGACATGCAGTGACTGTGTGTGTTTGTCGTATATTTACATAATTAAAAGTGAATATATTTATCGCTAAAACAAAAGTTAATAACTTTACGTTATCAAGAAGGAAAGAAATGTAAATAGTATTTCCAAATCTATGATGAATAACGAATAAATCAAACACCAAACAAATATATAACAACACACAAACGTAAAAGCAGTAACAGTGGTGGCTTAATAACGATAAAACATGAGATATAGAAGAAATAACAGTGTTTAGTCAACAACGATAAAACATGAGAAATAGAAGAAATAACAGCGTTGGCTCAACAACGATAAAACATGAGAAATAGAAGAAATAACAGTGTTTAGTCAACAACGATAAAACATGAGAAATAGAAGAAATAACAGCGTTGGCTCAACAACGATAAAACATGAGAAATAGAAGAAATAACAGTGTTTAGTCAACAACG